TTGTATTTTTGTCTGTTATAGCTATATACATCTTCAATGAGTATGACGTCATTTTCTCGGTGACTCGCATGGCTTCAAAGCCTTTTTTTTACGACCAAGTGTTTGGAGAGCTTAGGGAAGCAGGCCGCGTTGCGTAACACTTCGTAACATTTGGATCGCCAGAGGGCATCTGTGGTCTGATAAGGGCGGCTGTTGATGGATTTGATGGCTGAAGAGGGTTACATTACTTGTTGTTAAGCCAAGTTAATCTTGAATATCTTTCCCTCGGGAAATTCTTTCGAGACGGAATCTCCATTTAAAGTCTCACCTCCCTGGTTCACCTCGTATTTACTTTTCTGGGAGGACATCTATAAATTTTACGATCTGAACAGGTAGCTGGAATGACTGGTGGTGACCCTTGTGCCTCTGTCTTGATTAGCAGGCCAGTGAGATACAAAGTATGGTTTCATGTGACACCCATCTCATGATTCGAGTTGATGACTTTTCTTCTATTTTTTATTTTTCAAGTTTAGAAGGACTTATCTTATTCCTAGTAAGTGAAAGAGGCATTCATTCATAAACATTAGTTGTAAAAAATGTTAAATCAAAGAGAGTGATTCTGGAGGGAATTGCACTTTTGTGTAGGCCCTACAGTTCTTATACTCTACAGGAAATCCCATAGTAAAATACATCTAGATTTGTTCTCAAATTTTGTGTACAAAACAACGCATGAACCATTTTAATACACATTCTTTCTCACAAAAATATGAAATAACTTCACCTTTTAATGATTTTCATACATCTTAAAAATTCAATAAATATCATTTTGTCCTGCGATTAGAAGATCTGAAACAAGTTGAAACTTACCAACCCATAATTTACGCTCAATCTGCTTGTAAATTATATTCAGTAAATAAACAAGAAACCAAATTTAATACATCCAGACCTTCCAGTTTGATGGAGTTGAGTTCAATTTTATGCTGTAATCATTTAGTTTTTGATTAGTCTGTAAGTACAAACGTATTGACCTTTATAAAGTTCATGGTGTTTTTTTAGTTGCTGTTTCTTTTTTGGCTTCTTCTCAGCTCTGAAAGAAAAAGAGAAAGAGAAGTCTTTGCAACCAGAAATCACAAAAATTGTATGATAAACTGAATTTGTGAAATTTACTCAAATTGATTTTCCTTATTTGTTGGGGGGGGGGGGGGTAAAGAAACATTGTCAAATCATCCTGTTCTAGCTATATGTCAATGGTGAAATAGGCGTAGGTGCAATCTGAAATGAGTTCAATTTAAAAAAAAAATCTTTTTCTGAACTGTTACCGAAATTATCCGTAAATTATCCTATTCAAATTCTGAATATGCTTTAATATTCACTGATGTAGCATGAGACAGCACTGAGAGGAAAACTTTTCTTTAATTACAGTGGTTCACATTTTGCAGGATATAGCTTTGATATAAAGTTTTCAGATAAGCACAACTGCTGTCTGGAGATAACACATATTAGAGCAATTCTGTCTTTCTAAACAAACATCAAAGTTCCTGGCTGAAAAATGTCAACTGCTGAAGTTCCGAGTCCGCAAAATATGTTTACCAATCTGAGTCACAGAGATAGGGTCTCTGAAAGAGACTACTCCCTTGCTTTTGATTTCTCAGACTTCTGCCTGTTTTTTGGTCCTGTTTGTTGGTAGCCTCTTGACAAGTGATCTGAATTATATATTCATGAGACCCGATTTCCTACTGAATTATGCATGTCTAGACCGCAGCGATTGTGTGTGTGTATGTGTGTGTTCGGGATTGCCCAACTAGGCTAGTCTGCAAGCACAGACCCTAATTTGACACTTTATCAAAAAATCATTGTGCCTTGAGAGAAGCCTAACCCAGCTATCTACTGGTACCTACTGGTTGTACCAATATAGGTCAGGAGCAGCTATAGTACGTGGCATATGGTAGTCTTATAGTGCACACTCTCTTTTACGACTGACCAGGGTTTGTGCTTGCAGACTACAACTAGGCGGCCAGTCTCGCTCTCACGGAAGGAATTCGCACAGAGCGGTAGATATTACGTCATAGTAGCTCTTTCTGATTGGATGACTTTCACCGAACTCTGCTGGGTCGGAATATTCGCCAAACAAAGTAAAACATAAGAAATTCATATCACTTGTCAAGAGGCCCTCCGCGCAAGCGCCTCGGTTTCTCTGACTCGCTTCGCTCGTCAGAATTTAGAGACTCCAACAGCGCGAGGGCATCGACAAGCGCCTCGGTTTCTCTGACTCGCTTCGCTCGTCAGAATTTAGAGACTCCAACAGCGCGAGGGCATCGACAAGAGGCTAGTTTGTTGGATGAAGAAAGGACTACAAATCTGTCGTCAAGCTCGTAACTGGGCTCCAATCTCAACCAAACTGGTATCCACAGGTTATACTGGTCAACAGATATATCATTGGGTTTGGATAGCTAGAATGCTGGTCCTATCTGAAAATGTGTCCTGAGGTCTACTTTTATATATTCTTGAAGATTTGTACCACATTATTATGCCTCATTTGATTATCGTTGATTACGAAACTAGAAGTCTAAAAGAACTATATGTATTGCTAGTGTAGATGGAGGCTCCTTTTCAGCATTATTCTTGTTGTTTCTTATTCGATTATGATGAAGAACCTTGACTTTCAATCAAGAAACCTAGTGTTTCTCAAAATCTAACAGTACACACTTGATGGTTAAAATGGGACATGTTTCGTGTGGACAATAACTCCTCATACATAAATTGGAAGGTTGGACTAAATAGTGGGCTTTTAAAAATAATTTTTAAATCAAGAAATGTTAGGAATGCGATTTAATCCTGCCATTTCTCTCCCCTTGAATGTTGATTTCATGAGTCATATGTCATCACAATTTATGTGGTGGAATAAATTGGCAGAGTTAGGGCGCGTTCATGCTTGATTTTGACGGCCAGAATCAGGCATCTGTTACGCGTTTAGTTTAAAACACGGTTGCGTCTTAGCTCACTTTTGTAGAATCACCGAAAAACGGCGATCACGATCGCCGATCGTAAACTCACAAAAAGATGCGTTTACAATTTGTAAACGCGTTTAAATGGGGTCAACGCACTGACCTCTAGTGGGTCTACGTAGCATGCACAGTGAAGGTTTGCGAATCCAGCTGGAAGACCAATTAAGGCCACACACTGAGAATTGCCTGGGGGAGCCAGAGAAGTAAGCATGAACACTACATCGTGGAACTGCGATCACGATGAGCGTTTACGATGAGCGTTTCAGATCGCTCATTCTGCCTTCAAAATTTAAGCATGAACGCAGCCTTAGACAAATTTGAATATAATGCTGCGAAAACCTGGTATTTTGTTCAATTTGTTGATGAACTTTCTATTTATAGTCATTGGTTCAGAGAAGTTGGGGGAGGGGGTGGAGGGAGGGGGGGGGGGGGGTGAGAAAATAATGTTTATGTCTTTCGAGTATATGTTTTCTCTTCAGGGCCAGAATGGCTTTAATTCTGATAAAGTATATGTATAAGTGTTAGCGCCCTTCTCGCTCAAATCAGTTGATGTGAGAATCGGCTCATCAATTATTAAAAATGAAAAGAGCACTCAGACATGTTAAAATACTGCATCCAGTCAAATGTATTAATCTTTTTGATATCTTCAGTTAATAATAATAATAATACATAAGATTTATAAGGTGCCAAATTCACTTGACAGTCAAATGCTCAAGGCGCAGCTTGTGCAAAAGATGAAAAATACATACTTGATACATTTATACAAAGTGCGATAGGAAAGGTACAGACATGAAAGTTCATGTAGTATTCTTTTTTGTTGGGGGGGGGGGGTATGGTGAAAGGTGAGTGTGATCTGTTCCTGAAAAGATTCCAAGAAAAGTTGTATTTGATTGTTTTTGACAAGACATAAGTGATTTAAATCGCACCCGGAAGTAGTTCATTGACCAGCATTTCCTTCCTGAATGCATTTAGGCTTCCAAAATGATGGAGATTTAGCCATCAAAGGAAAAACGCAAAGCATGTTGATACTTTTTAATATCATTCCACTTGCTTAGTTTAAAAAAAAGGATATTTAAATGTTATTGTTTGAATTTGTTTAGGATAAGTTTTTTGTTTTTTTGTTATTGTGTTAGGGGCATTCTTATGAATACCGGTATGGAAATGAAGCGGCAGACTCCCTAAAAAGGTAGTGAGATGCTACATAATACATGTAGGCAATTGGACAATCAGATTAACACAGCTTTTCCATGAAACTTTAACTTGTACCTTGTATATATAGTATCTTTATTGTTCTTTCAGAACAGGAAGTCTGAATGAAAAGACTAATGACTGCTAGCAAATGTTCTGATACCAATACAGTAAAACAATTCAATAGGGTCTTTAGACAAGAGGATAATGACCCTAGCTGGGGATTATGCTCAGAAGTCAGACAGCACCATTCTTTTGAACCACACTTCACCTTTCATCTATCATACACCCTATATTCAGCGCTTGAATGGACTAATCCGAAGTCTGGCCAGTGCCTTTTGTTTTCCAATCATTTGAGGCTGGCCAGCTCCATTCAGAAATAGGGGGGGGGGGGGATCAATGAATCTCTATTAAGTCAGGAGGGGGATAATCCTGTGGAGAACAAAAGGTATGTCCTATTGATCAAGAGGAGATAAGCTGATGGTGCCCCACTCATGTTTATATTGTGATGAATAGCAACGCAGCTGTGGTTTTCTTTGAAGTCTTCAGGTGAGGTGAAAAATCACTTGTAAGTACATCCAATGGACTTCCTGTCCAGGTATTGATTATAGGGTGTAAATGCAACATACTTCAAACCAAGAGTGGGCTGTTTTTATGGTCATCGAGGACACTTCAACCATTCTCTAAAAATCAATCGCATCGATCTTTTGTGTTTTAATCAGAAGGTGATGAAGATATCCAAATATGTGAATGTGGTATAAACACCTACATGTATTGATGAATCATGTTTTAAACAACTTTTCTTTTCATCTTTGATCTTGTTTTCAGAGCGAGAAGCTGTCAGACCGAGATAGTGCCATGGAGTAACTGAGACGAAGACAGCTTGTATTACGGTGAGTTTATTGTGGGGAGGTAGTTTTAATTGATAAGTTCCTTTTTTGTTTCTGTTGTTTTTATCTTTGTTGTATTGTGTTTTTTTTTTTGCTTGTTTATTTTGTGGATGGGTTTTATGTTGAATTTAATAGAGTATTATTCGCATCTTTGCCCTAATGCCCATGAATGTGTAAGGGAAAAAAAATACTTAAAAAATTTTGGGGGCTACTTTTCAATAATAATAATAATAATAATAACCTAATAGTCCACTCCAAATTTTATTAAACCGAAACGGAAATTCTTTTGGCCCAATTGATCGTGAGCCCGGCAGCCACTGAGCAGCGCCAGATCGACGTTGTTCTATCCCCTTATTGTTGAACGCCAAACAAGGTAGCAACAACTCCCATCTTTTAACGTCTTTTGGTATGACGCGGCCGGGGTTCGAACCCATGACCTCCCGGTTGTGAGGCAGACCCTCTACTTACTGAGCCAACACTCCGGTGTTTGCTTGCATGAAAATAACACTCTTTAATTTGTTTTACATTGAACTCTATGCAATTTTTTTGGCTCTTCTATGTCTTTTGGGGGCTAATTCGCCGCGAGTCCCAATTCGCCCCTAGCCTCCATGTATTTTTTTCACTGGAATGTGTTCATCACAAAGACATAATAACAAAGCAGAGGTCTATTCAGACATGTAGAATATACATCACAAAGATTGTGTGATAAACCCATTTACAACAGATTATGTACTTAGGCTTTCTTGTAGCAGTCACATACTACATCAATTATGTGGGATTATGCCAGTATGAAAAAGAAGTGTGAGAGAATTTTCCGCACTACTTTTATGCAGCGTCTTTGTTGTAAAAACACACATGTCACATTTGGCTCGACATTGGGAAAAGGAAATTAGATTATGTTGCGCTGTCAGAAGGGATTAAAAAAAACCTGTTCATGAATAATTGCACAAGAGGTATTTACGCTACATGTACATAAATTCCGTTTTACAGAGCACTTAAGTTTACGCTGTAGTCCTATTCAAAGTAAACCCATTTATTTCTGTACGCAATGTGCTTATATAGAATTGTCTTTAGATAGCTTGTGCAAACTTCCTAAATGGCTAGTTTTTGGAATGATAAACCCTTGTTAAATGTAGAATGATAGATTGAGAGATGGGTTAATCTAGGATGGAATTACTGTCATTCAATCCCCATTGCACTGTCAAATCTGTGAACATTTTTGTGGACTTTGTTTCCTGATTCAAAAACATAGAAAGATATTTATCATGAGGACTTTGATGATGGTTCTAGTATTGTTGAACAACAGCAATCCTTGTCATTCACTTTTTTCATTTTTGAACAGCTAAGATATAAAAATGATGCCATCAATGTGTAATTTTGACTTGGCTAATGCAAGTTATCTCATAGAGGGCTCATAAAATACGGTCTATAATGTATTTTGATACAATATGAAAGAAAATAGCCCTGGCTTTGGTTCCCAATTGGGACATTTGGGTTCGATTAAAGAGTCGACTCTTACTTCCAGTATTACTAATGGACTTGGTTATGGACTCTTAATTCCTTCTCTCTCATAAGAATGATTTTCTTTCCCTGCTAAAATGGGATGCATGCACATGTTCTTCCTTTTCTCCTCAAAATGGGATGGATGCATATATGTTTCACAATCTGAATAGAATGTACGCACTTTAATCCCCTCAACTTCTCTAGACCAAGACTCCTTGATTAGTCTAAAAACATGGTTCTTAAATGATTGGTTATTGTATGATTCTTTATTTTTAAAGTGACTAAAGTTGATTTGTTCAAAATTCAAGATAAGGCTCAATATATAAATATCATAACATGCATGCTACATGTATTTAATTGTTAATTACAAAATTGGAAGCCTTGTCTACTTTTCTTGCCACAGATACTTTTGTCTACATGACTCTACCTTTGGTTTGAGAATCAAATTTATTCCTAAAAATGGTTACAAATTAAGTATGCATCAAATTCTTTTATATGATGCAAACATTTTGTCAGTGCCTTGCTCCTATAAAGAATAAGTCATTTTGCACAGAAATATAAATGGACTGTACAGTAGCTCATTCAAACTTATTCATATGCTTCTTTTTTAAAACCCATCCGTGTCCTGGTGCTTTAACTGTCATGTTAACTCAATAGATTGTTATAATAGATCCTCTTAAATGAAGTTGCCAAATTAAATTGAGGCATTGAAATCAACTTGTAATAATCCTTTGCTCCCAAAATAGAGCAAATTGAGCAAATATTTCAACAATGATTTTATCTATGTCTTCTACATTAGAGCTAAACCCCCTTGTGTCAAAGTTGAATTCTCAGATAAAAGTCCTTGAAATGAACAGATTTTACTAATAAATGGCAGGAAGCTACAAAAGTGATTTGACAAATAGCTTAAATTTTAATGCAGACTGGATCTTTTTATTAAATTTATCTGCAAAAAGCCCATCTTGATAGTACTCAAATGATTATAAAGAAAGTGATAACTCTATCCTGGCATCAACTATTCTTTATACTGATAAATTACAAGGAAGTGCGGAATGGATTAAAGCTTATCTGCCATAGTTTACAGGAGGGATTAGAGCGCCCTGCAAGGTCACTGGACAGGTGGCTATCTCATCAACTCAGCTCTCAGTTAACATAAGAAAAAGAGGATCATGGGGGACCAATGGTCACCGATTAGGCATTGTTTGTTATATAGAGGGCGCAAGTAGCTACAAGTAGTGCAGTGGGCCTTTAAGAAAGACACATTAATCATGAAAAGTAGATTGTGAGTGAGTTCTATGGGGTTGTGGCATCGCTTTGTTATGACCATTTAGAAGTATGCCAAAATGATTGTTTGGGCCCATTTCACTTCATGCAGAGGGGTGGAAGTTTTTAGGGGTTACGTAGGCATCACTTTCTTGGAGTTGAATCCATTCCAAATTACAGTGGAATTCATTCCAAAGTAGTGGTTCATAAGCTTTTTGGAGAGTGGATTCATACTCAAATAATGTGATCCCTAATATGATTCCTGAACAAGTTGATTATCAAGGATTTATTTCAAACTTTATAGATCCGAACTACATTGTGTAGTGTAAAATTGCGTATAATTTTTCTTAAAGATCAGGAAGGTGTGAAAATTCTTCACAGGGATTTGATGTCAGTTCTGAAGGATAGGTTTCACTTCACTATGGATTTCAGGTTTTATAATGCTATGGATTGAAAGCTTCTTTATCATGCCAAGATGGCAGCACAGGATCTTCTTGTTATCTCATTTTCCTCTTATAAGTGTTTCGGTGTGGCTTTCAAACCTGAAGGGATATTTTGAGATTTCTAAAACCCTCTGAAAGGTAAAGAATAATGAAAAGGGGTTTTATTTTATAGCAAGTGCAATTTAAATTTCCGCATCCAATATAGTTTTGTTCCCCATCTCACTTCTTTATACATATACCGGTACCTAAAAAAAGAGCAAGGATAAAGTTGATATTGTATGCAATATTTGGCATTGGTGGGCCTATTAGTGGCCTAGCGATCCTTCCCAATTAGACCCATGTGGAGTTCTGTTGAAAAGCCAACATGAGGATATTATCTGCTGTTATGGATCCCATCACCAAACAGGAATGTGTTCACACTTAAATTGAGATGCGTATATAATATGTTTCTTTGCCCTTTTAAAATGTATCAGTAAGTAAGGGTGAAAAGGTGTTCAAAATAGCACTTATTGATGAACTTTTGACGAAGTTGGACCCTGATTGGATAAAAAGCAATGTGAATGTCGTCATGAATCTTGGCTTGGGCTACTGATATTTTATACCCTATGAAAGTGATGTATTTGTTTTGATAGTCCTAAAGGCCTGTATTTCAAGCTGGCTAAGTCATTTGTTTGGTCTGATATTTTGAATTATCCTTTGTAATTGTTAGTATGCACATAGTACATACCGGTAAATAAAAATTTGATGAAAACCCACAATAACATTATAGAAGTCGATATTCACTATATTGTAAGAATATTGTTAATCTTTAGTGCCTGTTGCATAAATAGAGAATATGTGAACATGTCCATTGTCTACATGTTGGCAGATTATCCACTTTCCGACACAGTCAAGATCAAATTATTGCCTTTAAAGAGGCGGTAATTGGAGGCCAACTATCACTAGGAGGAGACGAGGAGGAAGGAGGGATGTGGGATAGGGCAAAGCCAAGATGTAGTCCTCCAGTAATGAAATCTTGGCACCTCTGGGTGGTGAGTGAGTGAGAGGTCTTGGGTCGAACAGTTTTAGCAGCGGGACGGGATTGGGGGAATGGGACTGGGATGGAGAACCGGGTGGAGGATAATGGACACCAGTGGGGAGTAGGGAGAGGGAGCATTGCAGAGTGATTGCTGCAGTTATTAGGAAAATATACCCCCTCTTCCATCTTCTTCTGATTTACTGGAGGGAGGAGAAGGCCATTTATTTGAGCAAAGAATTTAGCATCTTTTAGGCGGTAAAGTGGAGAGAAAGAAATAGAGAGTGGGAGAGAGAGAAAGTGAGATATTAAAGGAGAGAGAGAGAGTGAGTTAGAGATTGAAAGAGAGAGAGAGAGTGAGTAAGAGATTACATGTGAGAGAGAGAGAGAGAGAGAGAGAGGGGGGTGCAGGGAAGGAAGACAACAAAAGAGAAAGAGAGGAAAGAAAGAAGGTGAATAAGCAATCAGTGAAAACAAAGTGAAAAAGAAAAAGTAATAAACAGAAAACATATACCGGTACAATAAAAGAAGGAGATAAGATAACTTTCATGCACAAAAGTAAAAAAATCTTTGTCTGAATTGCGAAAAGAAGGTCATTGGCATGAGTAGTTACAGGTGAGAACCTATCACCTAGAACCATTCCCCAGGCCTACATGTCTATGTATCCCTAGACCTCTATTGTTACCAAGAAGTTTTTGAGACTCCTTAGGCGTGTCTGCACTATCTCGAGATTGCCAAATATCCAGCTATTTGAATTATCCCGATCGCAAACTATCCAG